TCATAAAAGTCAATTTAATTTAATTTAATTAGCCCAATTAGAATTTGATTTGGGCTATTGAATTTAATATTGAATTAATTAATTAATTGGCCCAAATCCATTTCATATTTGAATTTAAATTATAATTATGTAATTTAAATATAATATTAATCTTATTATATTTGAATTAGATAATTATAATTTAATTTGAATTTGAATTAGATTATACAATAATGAACCTGGACTTGATCTTGGGCAAGGTTCATTTTCCTAATTAATTAATTAGTTTACTAAAAAGGGGAGTTAGTTGAGGAATTTTGGTTAAGCTTTTAGTATAAATAGGGCCTTCGTTTTCATTCCAAAACACACTTGAAAGCTTGAAGAACTTGTAGGCATTGAAGAACGCTTGAAGATTTGAAGGCATTTTTGTTGATTTTGCAGGCAATTTGAATCCATTGCAGGTACTTTGGAGCTTTGCAGAATTGATTGTCTCGAAGATCTTGAAGTCTTTTGAAAGCATTTGAGGACTTTAAGGCAGCTTGAATCCATTGCATGTGTTTTGAAACTTTGCAGGGTTGATTACTTCTAAATTCTTGACGCTCGTTGTTGAAAGTCACGCCAATTGAATCCCGGAAGCTACGCCACTTAAATCCCGGAGGCACGCGCCACTTGAATCCCGGAGGCTACGCTATTTGAATCCCGGAGGCACTTCCATAGATAACGTCAGTGAAGAATCAGAGGACTAGACAGAGATCGTGTACCTGCATATTAAATTATACACACGCTATACACGGAATTTTGTGAATATATACAAAGTTTGTTTTTTGTGTTTACATTGATATTCCCGAGTTACTAGGTTGGATACTACCCGCTGAGCTTGGAATCCCGGTTATAGGGTGTGCACACTGACAAGTACGATACCTGATTCCACCGAGTTTATAAGAACCACGAGTACCGGTTTTGTGGGCGAGATGAGTATTAGGCCGGCTAGATGCCGAGCCCGGATAGGTCCATTCACGATTCGTGAAGTTCCTACCTCACCCACGAGTTCAGAAAGAAAGCAAGAAAGAAGAGAAAAGTGAGTCAAGAGACTCAACAGAGATCCTCCATAGAAAAGTGTTCATTTTTATATAAAGAGCGAGAGTATATCTATATATTTATAGCATCATATCCTTACTTGTATCATGACATAGCATATGTTTCATTTAGAGCATTTGAGAAGTACAATCTTATCGTTTTTTAAGTGTTAGTATGAAAGCATGATTTTACTTGTTAAACTTCAGTTGTTTCTTTATCTACCAGCATGATTGTGAGTAGTGCATAGTAGACTATAGTTGGTTTATATCTGTTTATAGCATGTGAATGTGTTCAAGTATGAGTTATGAGTTAAAGCATGTTTATATGTTTTATAGACTGTGAGCATATAGAAGTATTTTTGTATATCTATTGAGATCTATGACTAAGTGTCGTAACAGCTTATATTCATACGTGAGAATGTGTGTGAATGCAAAATGTTTTCCAACCTATATCTATAGTACTTTACAGGGTTGAGTGGCTTTATACTTAGCATTAATTGCTAACGGGTTTATTTTCCTACTTGTTTTGTAACCCCTTTCAGGTGGACCCAGTACTTGAGAGCGCACAATGATAGTTTAGTGCGTAGCTTTAGTTGTGGTAGTTTCTAGATTAGTACCTCTACCCTTAGTAGTACTTTTGACAGTTCGTAGCTTGAACTACCTTTTTGATGGTGCGTAGACACCGGGGTTGTTTCCCCTGTTTTACTGTTTTGATGAGTTTTGACTCTAGTTCCCGTAGATATTTTGTAGCCTGTGCAGTTACCGTGAGTGGTGACTGTGGCGGTGATATTCCATTTTAGTTTATCTTTTTGGATGGTATTTTAGTTACTTAAGTCATCTTTGATTTATCTTAATTAAGTTTGATTATTTTAGGTTTTAGATTTTAGAAAAAGGGGGTGTTATAGCTACTTCCCAAAAGTGCTAGGGGCGTTGTAGCCTAGGTTTCTCATAATAAAACGTACTACGGTTCAATGTTTGAGCACCCAAACGAGTGAACCCAACAAACTAGAGCACAGGCAGAACACAGTCGGCAAGAAGGAGTTGGAGCAGAGTTTTGGAGAAGAAAACCGATTTCTTTGTGTGTGTTGTGTCTCTACTGTTCGTTCTACGTTAAAACCTGCTGCCCCTTCAACAAGCTTATATAGGAGATTGAGGTGTAAATAGCATTCAACAACGACAATAAATCTTATTTAAAATTAGATTATAACCTTCAAAACTGACCATTTAATATGGGGTTTAATTATGGAATTAATATGGAATTAATTCTGTAACAGCTGAATTAACCCTCCAAACATTCACTAAAACAGTACATGCAACCGTACCATTTCAGAAGACGTATAACGCGCAACCGTACCATTCCGGAAGACGTCTACCATATCGCGTGAAGGTTCACCGCTGAGCAGACGCACCGCTCAAAAAGACTTCCTCAATAGCTATACTTACGTGTTGGAAAAATATTTTCGGAAAGTTGGCATAACTTAGCTCGCAAGGCTAGCCAATTTTCTGGATGACATTCGTGCCCGCAGGTGCCGGCGTACACGAGCCAAGCCTTTTCAGGCTCACTTTGGGATTTGATTTGCACCCCCGTACACGTGAGAGAGAACCTCTATGCTACACAATTCAATAAGCCTTAGAAAGGCTTTGTATAAGACAAAAGCTTAGGGGTCGTTTACTTCGTTTTTCTGTTTTTCCATTTCCAATTTTCTATTTTTCCATTTCTCCAGTTTTCCTTCTCCATTCTTCCAGTTTTCCATTTCTCCAATTTTCCAATTTTTATTCGACATTCCTCTAGTTCTTCATTTCTCTAATTTTCTGATTTTATTAAATACAACCACCTCATATAGCAGTTTTACCTTTATACAATAATAATAATAATAATAATAATAATAATAATAATAATAATAATAATAATAATAATAATAATAATAATAATAATAATAATAATAATAATAATAATAATAATAATAATAATAATAATAATAATAATAATAATAATAATAATAATAATAATAATAATAATAATAATAATAATAATTTTAAAATTAATTTTAATTTTAATTGTAATTTTGTATTCTATAAAAATAATAAATACTTAATTATTATATTAAATAATTTAAAATATTTTAATTTTTCTATTTTTTATTTATATTTATAATAATATAATTTTTTTCCGTGCATCGCTAATAAATACTTAATTATTATATTAAATAATTTAAAATATTTTAATTTTTCTATTTTTTATTTATATTTATAATAATATAATTTTTTTCCGTGCATCGCGCGGGTGAATTACTAGTAATAATAATAAAAGACAATACTAATAATGGCAAAGGCGCAAAAGCAAATGAAAAGCACGCAGCAAGAATCAAACCAGCGACCTCTTGGCCAAAGTGCATTGTTCACCCGTGTTTCTCTCCATCTCTCCATTTGGAGATATCCAAATTTTTTTTCTCCAAAAATATACATGAAGTGGAAAAATGGAGAAGGAATAAACATTTAGAAGAAGAAATTTAGTAAACAACTTCTCCAATTTTCATTTTTCCACTTCTCAATTTCTCAATTTTTCTGAAAAATTCTCCATTTTTCCAAGTTGGTAAACGACCCCTTAATCTTTTTCCCTTCATTTTTCCAACTCAAATGGGTCTACTTTGAGAATCAATTTCTCATTCATCCATTATCCGTTTTGAGCGTACACTATATAAATTTCTTCGTTTCACTACGAATAACCCGAATCCACTTTGACCCGACCTAAATCGAAAGTGGAAGCCACTAATAATTGTACCACAAAATAGCTACTTAAATGCCATTTTAATGCTATTTTTCAAACATAATAATCGTGTAAATTCGTTGAACTAGAACTTGCCACAGATGTGGAATCTAGTACTTCACCGAGTCTCAACCGTAAGTGGTTCTACTCTCTCATTCAAAGGAACTCGATCTATACCCACTTCTACTGTGCTAGAACCATCAACCAATGTATTTCCTTTCTTCGGCTAAAGCATAGAATGCTCATCAAACACTGCATCTCTATTAATCACCACCTTCTTGGCTGTAGGATCCCAAAACTTGTATCCTTTTACACCTTTCTTGAAGCCCAGAAAGATGCACTTAGCTTCTTTGACTTTGGATCTAATTTTGATCTCTCATCACTTAGAATAAGAACATAGCTAGGACAACTAAAAATTCGTAAGTGATCAAAACTCACAAAATTACCTTACCAAACCTCCTCAGCAACCTTGCCACCAAGCAATGTTTATGGTGATCTATTGATCAAATAACATGCCATGTATCACCCCTAGGGCATTAGCTGTTTTGTCCAAGGTCATGCGACCTCGGGCAAAAAGACTCTTATGTTCGGTGATATTCTTTAATTTCTTGTTAGTTGTTGTCGTGTTTCGTGGTGATTTTATTATCTTTTTCCTTTCATTGTTTTCTACTTGCAGTTTCATTTGGTTTAAATTATTTTTATTGATAATTGATCTTGAAGACTTTAACTTGCTAAGTTTGATTATTTTTAAGTTTATTAATTGCATCATATCAATTTCATGTGGGTTCAATTCTTGCTTTTGCACACTATTATTCATGTACTTGCTAGGACATAATTAAAGTTATCGATCATCTACCTCCACTTTCTTATCATTTGTATTCATTCAAGTGTGTTGTTTGATATTGTGTTTGTATCCAAATCAACCCTATGCTTTGGCTAGATGTCCATGAGGAACATTAGTATCTTGTGCTTGAAATCCTAAAGCTCTACTCCTATCGCCCGTCCTTGTGAGAACGATATCCGGAGTAATGATACCCTCTTACACATCCACTCACCAAAAATCTACTTCATCAATTTTCAACACATGATCATACATAATTTAAAGATATAACAATCATTATTTGTGCTTATAAATATTTTGTTACACAATATAAATACTAAATTATGTTACATAACCGTGAAGAAACGAAAACTTTTCATCCATTTGACCATCTTTCACCAGCTACATTATTACATGCGTTTGACAATTTATTGTGATAATAGTTTCAGGTTTTCACTGGGAATCTCCTAAGTTGAAAGCCAAAGGTCGAAAGCTATGCTGATGAAACAACAATTGGACTCTTAACCATGTGAATCCCATCGCTCCATTTATACCAACCAAATTCAAACTCCCCAACCTTCTTAACACTTTCAACCTTAACACTTACAAAGAAACTCTGCTTTTCTCCAACCTCCATAAACTTCAACTCTGTTGGAGAAATTTTGACAGAGTATCCAGTTGGGGCTTTCACCTCCACAGAATACGTAGTGTTTGCTGAGCCCACATTTGTGACTGTTCTTTTCACCACCATTGACCCTTTGAGCTGAGCTATTGCTAGGGATGGATAGTTGAGATTACTTGGAGATGAAGCTTTCTTTGGGCATTTGTAAGAGGGGTCTAGTGTAGTGCCGATACTGGAGCAAACAAAGAGAAGATAGTCCATGTATGTTGAATCGTATACAAGCCCGGGATCAGCCGCTTTTGATGGCTGAATATGGCCTGCCCCGTAATGGAAAGGACCTGCAACTTCTCCATATGCATCCTTTATTGCTTCTCCTTTCACATTCTTAGTTGTAGCTGAAATTGGAAAGGAGAATATCAAATAATGAACTTGTAGTATAGATATTATTGCAGTCTGTGGCTTAAACTTAAGCTACTTGTTGGGTGGAGCCAGTAAATGGCCAAATTCATCAATTGGTGGCTAGGGATTTTTGGGCAGAGGTCGGTGAAGAGCAAAGTCTAGACGGTCTATAAAGAAATAAAGTTGTGCATTCGCTATTAGTTATAGCTTTTTGCAGTAAGCACTTGATCTAACAAGTGGTATCAGAGCCAAGTAACGGTAAGAGGTGCAGGTAAAATTGGCAGGTGCTGAGAAGGAGAATTGTTGGGTGAAGACGTGGTAAGCGCTTCATCCTAACACTACTAACACTACTATACATTTATATACCAGTTGTCATAATAGCAGATTTTATGGCAGCACCACTCCAGTCAGGATGTATGGCTTTAAGAAGCGCAACGACAGCAGAGACATGAGGGCACGACATGGATGTTCCTGATATTATGTTATACTTAACACTTCGATGATCTTCAGGTTGTTCTAAAGGTGAAGATGCCTCACTCCATGCTGCTAAAATATTAAGCCCTGGAGCTGTAATATCAGGCTACAATGTAACATGGAAACATAAAATTTGTTTTAGAAATTTATAATTTTCAGTGTATATATGAATCTCTGCTCTAGTTACAAGTTACCTTGAGGATGTTAGGCTCTGGGTAACTTGGACCTAATGAGGTAAAAGGAGCCATGGCCGGTGATGGTTTAGCACCAAAAATTGTTTTTCCAGGAATGAGAGTGGCCACTGGATTCTTGTTGGTCAAAATGTATTTCAGAATTGCATCTGTCCCGGAAGGATTAAAGATGTTTGTAGCTGTAATCAGAAAACTCTCAACTTGTATCTCACTACCAATACTCCCTAATATGACAGCTGCGCCGCCGGCTCTTTCCACTTCTAATGTCTGGGATAAACCTCCGGTTAGACAAAACACTACTTTCCCTTTTACTTTCTCCGGTGAAAGTGTGTCCTGCCGGCAAAATCTGGAAAAGTAATGCTATATGATTTAGAAAATAAATTAAAGAGGCTCAAGACAAAATCAAGACAGGAAATCGAACCCGGGAATAGTTGTCGATCCAGGGATCTCTACATCTCCTGCATACACAAGTGGAAGTGTCTCTTGTTTCTTAATTTCAGTTACGCTTTCTCCCTGCAGTTTTTTTTCAATGAAGTAAACATCAATCAGATATTCATATATATATATATATATATATATATATATATATATATATATATATACTACTGGAAATTGTGGAATTTTCGACCACCTGAAAGTGATCTTAAATCAAGTCGAAAGCTTTGTTCCGACCACTTTTGGTATCTAAAAAACCTTTGTTGCTATTTTCGACCATCACTTTCAGGTGGTCGGTAATTCCATAATTTCTACTAGTGATAGTGAAAGGAAAATTGAAGTTTATTTTTCTGACCTTAACTAGCAAGTTGTTTCCCAACAAAACAGGAGCTGAAAACACTCGATCAATGCTACTTGCGCCAACTGTGAAGATCCAAGGAGCAACATTGGTGACACTATATGGTTCCCTATAATTTCCAGCGCTACCGACCACTGCAATGTTCCTCTTCATCGCATGCAATGCTCCAAGCGCGACGCCATCCTGTGTGAAGTAATTATCTTGAGGCAATAAACCAAGGGATACGCTAATCACCTGAACCCCATCGGCGACGGCGTGATCAAATGCCGCCAACACGTCGTCATCTTGGCAGAAAGTTGCTTTGATATCATCGAAAGGCACTTGCCAACACGCTTTGTAGATGGCCAGGCGCGTTAGTGGTGCGCCGCCGGTGGCCACACCGTTCGCGAAGCCGCCAAGGGCAGATGCATTGGCTACTTTCCGACCGCCGACGGTGGATGCTGTGTGAGTTCCATGACCGCTTATGTCTCTCGATGAACGAAAGTCAAATGTGTGGTTCACAGGGCCAAAGGTTGCCTCATAACCTTTTACATGATATCGAGCTCCAATTATTTTTCTGTACAAAAATAATTATTTATCATTATGTTAAAAACTATAGTTAGATAATGAAAATACAGATTTCGTTCACTGATTTAGTAGACATCATTTGAGAGAAAAGACCAAATTTTGAACATCAATAGTTTCCGTGTGAGGATTATGAAGATTATGGATGCTAAAGTGGGTAGATCCCTTGCGTGTACCAGCATTTGGTCATGTATTTACATCCTCCTAAATGCCGATGTGGGAGGCTTTTTGGGAAAAGAAGGTAATGAAAATACAATTATATTTTTTTAATAGTCAAAGTCAATAGATGTTGAATTTAATCCTTGTTAGGATCAAGCACACCAATATGCCAAAAGTCACTAGCTACCAACTTCCCCCTAGTTTTTCCTCTTATTGCCACTCAAACTCATGATCTACTATGTAAAAAAAACTATAGCTAATAGTCAAGACATAACTTTATTTTCTTATACCGCCACATTTTTCAGAGGCAAGGTACTGAATTTGACCCTTTAAACTTTTGCCCAACAATCCATTTAAGCTATCTCAATATTTCTAATGAATATTTTGTGAGAGGGTGAATTAAAAACGAAGTAGGTGTTAAGATGAAGGAATTTAAGTGCAATAGTGACCTATTGCAGTGCGATGAGGTGAAATGAAGTCCTTCTTGGCATGTCCCTTTCCATGACTTGGGAACAGCTTCCATGCCTTCATCATTGAAACTTTGAGACTCTGGCCATATACCTACATACACAATAATATATACTATTCTTAATTGTTTTCTTTTAATTTGTTAATCATTAAATTTGGAATTCTATTATTCTGATAAAAGTTAAAGAAAAATAGAAATAATGTAAGACTGAGAAAAGGAAATTAAAGTAATTTGGTGAATATTTACCAGTGTCGATCACTCCTACAATGACATCCTTTCCACCTCCGGCTTTGGGCAGCAACTCCTCCTCCCCTGAAGTAGAAGGATTTCCATTTCCTTCATACATTTTGATGAAATCCCATGATCTTGTTGTTTGAAGCTCTAATGACTTGCTGGGAAACACTGATATCACACCATCCATCTCTATAAACCCAAAATTAAACACCTAGCTTAATCAAACGCCATATCCATATATATTGTATAAATTATAATTAATATGATAGCATATTTAAAACTATCAGTGATCAGTCATCATTTTTGAGTTTCTAAAATAAGGGGAAATGGTATTTACAATATTGAATAAAATTGACCCTAATAATCGATTGTGATTGGTACTCACATTTTAGAGGACTTGTTCACATTTTACACCAACCACTTTGCATTATGTGTTTGTGGTTACTGGTTAACAAAATTATGTCTTTTCACTTACGGCACATTTGGTTCGCAGAATAGGCCTAGAATGGAATTGCATTCTCACTAATAGACATATTTTTTTACTTGGTATAAACATATTGTTCTCAGGAATGACCTATTCCCCTGGGGAATAGAGATTCCTAGGGCCCCCCGCCTAAAATTGTTATTTCCTATTTTATGCATAATTAAATTTATTTCTTATTTCACTACCACCACCGCGACCGCCATCACCATCGCCATTCCACCGCTGCCACCACCGCCGTCGCCGCTACTACCACCGTCGTCGCCGCTGCCACCACCGCCAACACTACCATTGACACCGCCACCATCGCTGCCGCCGCCGCCACCATCGCCACCACCACCACCACCGCCGCCGCCACCACCATCACCACCACCACATATTTTTATAAGGCTATTTACGTCTTTTAAAACATATTTCATTTCTATGCCTTAAACTAACCAAACACTGTAATATAATTTCTAAAGTCTATTCTTTTCCGCGAACCAAACAATAGAATATAATTCCTATTCTATTCCTTATCTATTCCATAAGGTATGGAATAATATTCCTATTACCTCTAAATTCATTCCGTGAACCAAACATGTTGTTAGATGATTATGGCCCTGTTTGATAACATAGTTAACTTACCAGTCAATTTTGGTTTATTTAACCACTATTAGCTTATTTGACTTGGTTAAACAATCAATATGATGTTTAATTAATTAGTTTTTTGTAACAACTTATTGTTTCAAAATGCTAAAATTCAAAAAGTTGCTTAAAACAACTTTTTCTATCAAACTTTTTGAGAAAATCATTTTGCATGTAATCATCTATATGTTAACAGTTAATTTATTAAACACTTTTCTACAATCAGCTAATGTTATCAACTAGTCAAACTCACTAATCCAATCATCTAACACCTATTTATCAGACACCCTCTATGTGCGTGCAAATAAATTAATTACCGGCTATGGTGTTGGCTTCCTCTGAGGTGAGTAAAGCGGAGAAGCCATTGATGACATTCGTGTAGCTGTGCACCAGGGAAGCTGAAGCTTCTTCTTTGGAGCTCTTTACATGATGAATATATGTGCGATGGAGGCCTTCAATCTCTTTCGCGCTTTTGTCTCCACTGTGCTCTCCAAGGTACACCACATAAACCTGCATGCACCACAAAATCATGTATTATATACAGAATTATCCTAGCTAGATTCCTAGAACAGAGTAGTATCCAATTAACAGTTCGGAGAACATATAATATAATATTGGTTCGAATGAATTGAAGCAAGCTTGCAAACCTGTGGTTTAGCACTGCAGGCTGAGATGTGAAGAAACAAAAGAAACAGTAATGTAGTAAGAGGTTTCTTCATTTTAGATAGCATGGATTATGGATACTCTCCAGTTTATTTTATTTGTTGTGACGATTTAAATAGGGCTAGCAGCACAAAGATTTTTGGTTTGATAGTGATGGCATACAAAAGAATTTTGGCCTTCTTGTACTACCTTGACAAGTTAGTCGAACAGTAAATTTAATAATCACAATGTTCCAAATTTGACTTTCCATTTGAGCTATGAACAACTTAAGTTGGTTACCTACTTGTGACCCTTTGCGGACTTCAACCAAAACACACACAAAATCAATTAGTGACTGCAAAATTTCTCGTAGGCTGACAAAAGAAGGACATTTGTTCATTAATTTTTAGTAGAAAAAAATAGCATTTCTTAATGACTTTGATCCATTTTAGAGAGCATTCATGGAGCAACTCTGGATTCTTTCCAGCCACGCGGTTTTCTTATGAATGGACTTGTTAGACTAAAATTTTTATCAATTTTACAATGTTGCAGGTGTGTATTTTTTGTATTATATATAAAGAATATTGTTTTTCGCAAAATTGTACTCTCCTATTTCCTATATGTCCTTCTAACAAAACATAAAATATAATTTTACGATGGCAAAAATTTGTGTGAGACAGGTAGGGTCAAGATGAAAATGTAATATTTATATGTACAAATGTAATACTAATTATGAATAAAATGTTTATTACTTATATGGAAAATGTAATACTTTTATATTTTGATTTAAAAGTATTATAAATTATTAGGGAAAATGTAATATTTTTTTATGGAAAATATAATACTTTTACATCAAAATATAAAAGTATTATATTTTTTTTATAAGTAACAACATTTTATTCCTAGTTAGTATTATATATTTGAACACATAAGTATGACATTTGTATATATAAATATGACATTTGCATATTGATTTGATCGGACTTTGCCCGTCCCAAGGATAAGTGTGACCTTTTTTACTAAATACATGATATTATAATTTACTACCACCTGGTTGAAATCGGTAGTTAAACTTTCACTTGGTGTTGATGCTTGAACATAAATTTCTTTCACTTGGTGTTGATGCTTGTGTAACATAAATTTCTTTCACTTGCTCTTGCACCATATGATGTCTCATGTGTAATAATGTTAAAAATTAAACAAATTATTAACCCAAAAAAAAAAAAAAAAAAAAAAAAAAAAGAAGAAAGAGGAAAGAAATTCATATGGCCATGGTAGTGATTGACCATGACCCTTTTGTTCGTCCAAAGTTGAATGAAGAAGCTATGGCCCGGTGTCTTTATCCTTGGACAAAGATGCTATGGCCCGGTGTCTTTATCCTTGGACAAAGATGCAATGGACGATAAGATTTTTCCTTTTTTTTTTGTTGGTTTTTTTTTTTTTTTTTCGTTTTTATTTTTTGTTTTTTTTAGACAACGACTTGGAGGACCGAATCCAGTATCCTATCATTGAAACATATCATTATATTGATTAGGCTTGGGGCAACCCATTCCAAATTGGTAAGACTATTGACTTAATAATCACAATCTTAAAATGTTCGATTCCCAACAAGAGCATGCTATTTTCCTTCTTGGTTTTACTCAGCTATGGACAACCAAGGTAACCTAGGCTGGTTTATCTCTTTTTTGTCTTTTGACGACTAGTGTCACATGGAATTGACTACGTACTACACAAGAATAAAGAAATAAAAGTGCATCTTTGCTACTAGATATAACTTTTGCCATAGTGGTGAGTGTTTGATCTTGATAATTAGTAATAGAGTAGGTCACATATTCAAACTACTAGTTATAACTTTTAGCGTAGCTACTACTTATAACGTTTGGCATAGTAATATGTGTTTGGTCATGACTTTTTTTTTAAGCTCTTCATTTTAAAATTTGAAACTAAAATATTTAGAGTGTTTTTGGTTCATGGGTTTAGCTACCAGGAATGTGAATCAAAGTCATTGTTATTGTTTGGTTGACAGGTTTCTAAAGTACTATTGTAACACCCCACTTTTCTTAAACTTAATTAAAGTTCTAAAACCAAATTGAGATAAACTATGCAGCGGAAAATCAAACTCAATTAACAAACTTAGTGGGAATGTCACCGCCACAACCACCTTCCCACGGTGATTGCACAGGCTACGGGTAAAACTAAACATCAAGTCAAACTAACATCCGAAATTTACTACATTAAAGTAACTTGGGGAAAAGTACCCCGGTGTCTACATCCATAAATCCAAAACAAAAGTCTCCAACCATAATCCATAACATCATAAAATAAAACAAAAGTTTAGACTACTAGATCAACTACACTAGTCTAACTCGGACAACTCTCAAACGCTGGGCCCACCTGGAAGGGGTTTTGCAAATAGACAAGTAGAAAACACCCGTTAGCACGAAGCTAAGTATAACTCCACTCAACCCTGTAAAATACTACAGTATATACTTTGGAAAAACATTTGCTCACATTCTCAAATTAAGCAATCTCAATCACTTAGACAAAACCTTAATATAAACCACAAAGCTTTCTATATGCCCACAACTTAAAATATCAAATAGGCATACTTCAACGATATCAAACCTATCAACATGCTCATACTATCGCATACTTTAACATAGCAAATCTCAATCCTATATAACAACTCAATAACAATCTCATGCTAACACATAAACTTATCAAGCAATTTCGTAATATCAATCAATAAGAAATTATTCTCATGCTTTCGAGTTCTCATCATGCAAACTAGAAATACCAAACATCAATATGCTACTAAGGCAATCATACTCAATATACAATCTCGGGTAATCATTCTCAATACGCAATCTAGTGCAAACATTCTCGATATGCAATCTCGTGCAAACATTCTCATTATGCAATCTCGTGCAAACATTCTCATTATGCAATCTCGTGCAAACATTCTCATTATGCAATCTCGTGCAATACAATACTCAAATGCAATCTCGTGCAAACATTCTCATTATGCAATCTCGTGCAAACATTCTCATTATGCAATCTCATGCAAACACTCTCATTATGCAATGCAATCTCGTGCAATAATATACTCAAATGCAATCTCATGCAAACATTCTCAATATGCAATCTCATGCAATACGATAAGTATACATATACACTCGCTTGTAAATAGAATACTTTTCTGTGGAGGTTTCTTAGAGTCACAATGACTCGCTTCTTTCTCTTGAGTCTCTTGACTCGATTTCTTTCTTGCTCAAACCTTCTCATACTTCTCATTTCTCTTCTTGTGCGAGGCAGGTACTCCGCCGCAGTGAAGCCCTAGCGTACGGTGCAATCTCGTGCATCCGCCAAATCCGTAACTACGGAACCTCTAACTCGTGGGGAGGTAGGTCTTCACGAACCGTGAATGGACCTAACCGGCTCGGCAATCTATCTGGCCACATACTCAACTCGCCCACAGAACCACTCTCTTGGTTCTTTATCTTTCTTCCTTGCTTACTTTCTCTGTGGAATCAGGTATCGTACTTTTAGTGTGCACACCCCCTAACCAGGATACCAAGCCTGGCGGGAAGTCTCCAACCTCGTAACGTGGGAATACGCCGCGTTACATGATAAATTTGTTGAATCGCAATGCCCGTTACTTTCTCTTTTACTCCGAAAGGACATAGTCCCAACGGGTCCTCCAAAACCTCACTGATATATATATATATATATATATATATATATATATATATATATATATATATATATATATATATATATATATATATATATATATATATATATATCATGCACCAAACTTATGCATGTCACATCTCAACAACTTCTCAATGCAACAAGATAAAGACTTTCTACATGCTCATGAGTTTTGGAAAATAATATTTAGGCTCACGTTGGCCACTTATGCACTTTTAAAACATGATATGCTTGAAATGTAATTTACTATACAACATACTTCAATTCTATATTATTGTGAATTTCTCAAAGAACATTTAATCATGCTGGGATTTCAAAACAACATGCTCTGTACATTTCATCAATTGGAATCTGACTATAATATCCATGAATCATAACATACACCTTAGGCATGCTTTTCTAACAAGACTTATTTAATTAATGATCATGCTTCTCAATTTAACAATCAAATAGTATCAAGCAACTCACATAGGCAAAACCAAGTCTGATACTCATCATTTTCAAACACTGGAACATTATTGTAACACATTTGCTTCACAAATTCAATCATAAAATGCTCATTTCTAATCCAAATTCAACGAAATCAAAGTCCAAATGTACGTCATGACGGCCCCAACGTACCGAGCCACAAGGGCCTGTGACACCCGGTCCGAAACGACTCATAGCTGAGCCACAAGGGCCCGATCACTGCACAGAACAAAACCAACGGGGCTTGCGGTGGGGCTAGAGGGGCCCCGCTGCCTAGGATTGCCTCGGCAGCGGCCTAGGGCCACGGCCCTTGCCTAGGGCCGTGCCCTAAAGCCGTCCTGTCACGGCTCTAACCAACGACTCCCCTCGTGGGCCGTTGGCTAAGCCCGTGACTTCTATCTAGTGCATACTGTGTTGTGCATCAGAGACTTCTTCTTCACCTGTAATGCATTTTCAGACACATTTCCACTTCCAAAACATCACCAACACATTGTACAACATCAACAATTCATCTAATAGCTCTAACACACAATATTCTAACATTTCTACTCATTTCTAACCATATAGCAGTGACTTCACAGAGTCAAAAAGAGATTGGGAATCCATGGGGTTATACCTTTATTGTTTCCTCTTCTTGTTGGGATTCATCCTTCTTCCCAAGTCAGCCACTACCTCCTTCACCTCCTAGACACCTCAAAGAAACCACAGAACAACCCTTAGGAACTAGAATCTCAGAGATGAAAGCTAAGAAATGGAAGGCTAGGAAACTTACTGTGTTTTCTTGCAGGGATTTTGTGTGGGGGAGACAAGGAAGAGAATCAAGAGGAAAATGTCTGCTAACTCTTCATTTTATAGTGGCTCAAAACCCTAGGTGATTCAACAATGATTGATGGACGGCAAAATGGTAAAAGCTTGGCTAGAAAGTTGCATCAGACAAAAGCTCTTGGAGTGGTGTGGTTCACCATACTCCATG